TGACTGTTTAGACTTGTATTTAACATTCTGTCTCCTGTTTTTAAATTTTTCCTTAATTATATCTTTTGCATGCTCTTTATCTTAATCTTGGGGTAGATCATTTTTTTCTGCCCACTTAATTTTCCAGCCTCCCACGAAGCCAACAAAATATAGAGAACATGTTCAGTTCTTGAGATTGCTTTGTTATATATACAGCAGCAATCCTAAGACCTTTTCCTGGGATTTTAGACTCTCAACATTGTGGTTTTAAATTTAATTTCAGCTGTCACTGGTGTACGGTGGTGATTTTCAAGTAGCTTTCTAGATTTTTATTCACATCATTTTCCTTGCTCTCATCTTTTTGGGTTTTAGAATAGATGTAGAGTAAGAAAAACAAATAGGGAAAAATCTCCTGTTACATGACAAAGAACAGGATAATTTTGGAAATGCTGTTGGTACTTCATAAATCAGTTCTATCTCATTTTCTGTTCTTGAAGCTAAAGACTTTGAGAAAGTTCCAGACATTGTTGAACATGGAAAAATCATATTTATTGCTTACTCTGGTTGGTTATAAATGAGCATTATTACTGGAGGTAAGGCTATGAATACAGTCCCACTTTTGTGATGTTCCAGGTTCTTTGACTGTACTTTCACAGAACTGAAAGCTCACTTTTAACACAGGTTGCTCTTTTATTTCCAGTTCAAGAAATTTATTTTCCAGAGATGTTTACAGTGACATATAGATATAGATAGATAGGTGTGTGTGTGAGTTGGGGGGACAGGAGGGATAGCCATTGCAACTGACATAAATAAATCATAGTAAAAGAGACGCACCCCCAAATGCCTACAAATAGGGTAGGACTTAATCGCATTAAAAACAGAGGTATGTTACTTGGGGATAGAGCCATGTTTCTCCAGGGAGCTTTTTCACACTATTTGTGAGCACCTTCTGTCTCCTCCAGCCTCCACCCAATCCGCAAGACCACCTGAGGATCACTGGACATAAGAGAGCTGCTACTCATGGAATTTCTGTGTTGCAGTAACGTTAAGGAAAACAGGATTATGAACTGGTGGTCTGAAGTTACTGGTCCCAGCAAACCTTCCAGGGTCCTAACATGGAATTGAAGCATTCACTCCCCCTCTCCTAAGTCCAGAATTTTTTTTTTTTTTTTTGGTACCAGGGATTGAATCCAGGGGTACTTAACCACAGAGCCACATCAGCCTTTTTGAAAAATATTTTGTTTAGAGAAAGGGTCTTGCTGAGTTGCTCAGGGCCTCACTGAGTTGCTGAGGCTGGCTTTGAGCTCGAGATCCTCCTGCCTCAGCCACCTGAGCTGCTGGGATTACAGGCATATGTCATAGTATCTGGCAGGCCAAGTCCATCATTTCTGAGCATCAAACCACAATAAAAATGGGTGGATCCTGATGAAGTAATAGAAATAAAGTCAAAATAACTAGGTAAAAAGGAAAAAGAAGACAATCCCCAGAAACCTAAGACTGCTTCTAATACGCCACTGGGGGTAGAGGGAAGGATCACAAAAGAGCGAATGGCTTTGGAGGTTTAACAGATTTAGCACTGGAGCACAGTGGCACATGCCTATAATCCCAGCTGCTCAGAGGCTGAGTCAGGAAGATTACAAATTCAAGCCCACCCTTGGCAGCTTAGTGAGACCTTATCTCAAAAATAAAAGGTAAAAAGGGCTTGGGATATGGCTCAGTGATAGAGCATCCCTGGGTTTGATCCCCAGTGTCACCCCCCAAAAAAAGATTTAGCTGTAGTGAGGAAAGATTTAAATATAGATAGAAGTTGCTTCTGAAAAAGAGTTGCCTGGTTTTGTCTCTGTGATCATGGGTTTCAGCTGTTCTCATTATCAGTGATCAGAGCGAACCTGAAATTTGGAGGATTTAGGAATCATCTAGTCCATATCCAGGGCATGTGGCCAGCTCTTTATTGGAGAACTGGGTAGAGCTAGCATTCTCCTGGATCATGTTGTAAACTGGAGATGTAGTAGGTGGAGATTTTATTTTGCTGAAGGAAAGGTGTTGAATTGTTTTCCTCCTTTCTAGTGAGTATTTGCTTGCTCACAGAAGACAAATAGTTGTACAGATTAAATTACAAAGGGTAGTTTGTCCTCTGATGTTCCTAGAGCCATGGCCAGTAGAAATTAGGTTGTCTCATAGGGCACGGTGGTGTGATGGAAAGGATGCTAGCGTGCTACATGATAAAGTAAGAGAAATTGAGACTATTGGAATGCAGCTTTTCTGGTAGTTTGACCACCTTGGTCTGGTGAAGGTGGAGCACAAGTTTTATTTCTCCATTCCTCTCTGCTGCTTGGTACCCATTTGTCAGGTGGGATACAGGGGGTGAAGGTTAAGTCTGGACCTCACTGCAGAACTTAGAATGCAGCGTGACACAGTTCAGCCATTATTATTCAGCAAATGTTAACTCCTGGGATGTTAGCTGTTTTTAAATTTTTTTAGTTGTTGATGGACCTTTATTTTATTTGCTTCTTTATATGTGGTGCTGGGAATCAAACTCAGTTCCTCACACATACAAGGGAAGCGCTCTACTGCTGAGCCACAACTCCAGCCCCTGTTAGGCTGTTTTATGTGCTGGGGAGGCAGGACTTAAAATGAGCAAAGTCCCAGCCAGCTTGGCTTTTACATTGTAGCAAAGGGAGACAAACTGAACTCCGGTACAGTGGCTAGAATGGGAAATGGTGATACAGCTTCCGCTTGAAACGGTTAGAGAATTCCAGGCTGGGATCAGGGTGTTGCAGTTTTAAATAGGAGAGCTTAGAGGAAGCCTCCCTGCAAGGTAACATGTGAACATATGAATGTGACCTGAGGTAGACATTGTTTCAGTTCAGGGAATGAAGGAGAAGGGCCCAGTCTGCTAGAGGATTGCACCTGGTGTGTATGAAACCAGGGAGTGGGGGGTCCTGAGTGGGAGTGGGGAGACCCTGAATGCAGCGAAGTGAGCGAGGAAAGTCATGATGCGGTCAGAGGCAGTGGGAGCTCCACAACCATTGCAAGGACTCAAGATTTTAGCTGATTGAAATGAGGCCCCTGAAGGATGGGGCAGAGGAATGACATGATCTGACTTAGAATTTTGAGTGTGTGGTGCTGGGATCAGATCGCACAAGGCTGCAGGCTCGCTTGGCAAGTGCCCTGCCACGGAGCGCCATCCCCCAGCCCTGACTCAGGGTTTTGATTGACCTTCCAAAATTCATTTTCCCACTGACATTCCAGAGGTACTACTTTTTATTTCCAACAACAGAATATAGAGGGATCTACTTACACCTCATAACCCGGTATTAAACTTAATTTTTACTTATTCAGTAGGTTAAAAAAAACTTATTTTAATCTGCATTTGTTTAATTTTGAGGTAGGGTTAACTGTACTGTTTTGTGATCTGTCTTTGCTTTTTCATGTTCTTTACCTGTTGACTACCTTACTCTTTTATTTATTTATTTGTTTGTTTGTTTATTTATTGCAGTTGCAAATGGACAGAATGCCTTTATGTTTGTTTAGTTTTATGTGGTGCTAAGATTTGAATCCAGTGCCTCACACATGCTAGGCAAGCGCTTTGCCACCGAGCTACCGCCCCAACCCAAATACTTTATTGTATTAATTTTTTGGAGCCTCTTTTTTTTTTGGCACTGGAGATTGAACTGCTTAAGCAGTGCCATTATTTTTTATTTTGAGACAGGGTCTCACTAAGTTACATTTATCTCTTTCTTTCTTTTTGTCTTCTAGGTTTCTTAGGCTTTGTCTTCTTTCATTCTTGAAAAGGCCTGATTTCTGAGATTGGTAGATAGCTATCAATCCAGGGAGACTGATCACTATTTTCTACTTGGCTAGTGGTTATCTCAGCCCTACTTTGTGACTTTATCCTCCTACTGACAAGAAATACTACTTTGATTTATCTTGTTTGGGTCTAGCAACCACTGATATTTTAAGAAATAATGTATTGAACAGTTTTTCTAATGGCAGAGAGGGTCACTAAAAAAATATTACTGGTTGGGTATCATTTTTTTGGTACTGGGGATTGAACTAGACCACTGAGCCACATCCCAGCCCTATTTTGTATTTTATTTAGAGACAGGGTCTCATGAGTTGCTTAATGCCTCATTGCTGAGGCTCCTGCCTCAACCTCCCAAGCTGCTGGGATTACAGGTGTGCCCTACCGCGCCCGGCTCTGATTGGGTGTCTTCTGTTGCCTTTATCTTTAGGAGGCTTGCTGGTCTGAATTAGAGTGTCTACTGAGATTGCCTGGTGTGGGGTGATGGGAAAGGTAACAGGATCCACACTTCTGTCTAGGTGCAGTGATGTGGGGATGAGAACAGTGGGGTAGATTCCTGACTACAGGGTTTACTGCTGTGTTGGAGGAGGACAGAAAGTTGTTAGTAAGCAGCTGGCCTGTGTATGCTGGTGTCCTACGCTGGGATAACAGTGTTAACTTACACGGAACATAAGTTTACTAATTTTGTGGCATAGAGGAAAAAAATTCTTAAAAATATGGAAAAAGAGGAGAGATTAGGGTAAAATTGGGACTGGGAGAATAGTCTGTTCATTGGTCACATTTCTGCTGTTTTTGTTTTTAAAGCTAGTTTAAGTAGACTTCTTACCATAGTCTAAGGTTTTGGTACACTGAAATGCTTGCTGATCCTTCTGGTTTTGTGTGGAATGTACAACCTGTGAAATTCAAATAGGTCTACACACTGGTGTAGACCTGTCTTCATTTGTTAGGGTGAGTATCTTAGCCATTAGATAAATAATTAGCTTTGGTAGCACTAAAAGACTTCATCTGTGACTGGTCTTGACTTGTAGTAGGTAAGATTAATTCAAATGTGTGCTGAGGTGATTCATTGCCAAGATTGGGACCAGAATCTTGTGTTTTACCTCAGTAGTCTTTGACTAAGTTACCTCAGGTTATACTCTCTCATAATGGGATCAAAAAAGATGACAGAGTCTTGTCCCTAGGGTTTGACCTTAACTCCTCAGAGTTTCCATTATAGGACTGGCTGGACAATGGCCCAGAACAAGCTATTCAACAAGATCCTCAAAGCCCTGCAGTCTGACCGACTTGCCCGCTTGGCCAATGAAGGGGTAAGACATCAGAAATCTGCCCAGGTGGGCTCTTCCTAGTTCAGGCCTCTCTGGCTGACTGATTTGTACCCACCTCCCATTTGCTAACCAAGTGGAACTCTTGTTCCTTCTTTTTGCATCTTTCAGGCTTGTAATGAGCCAGTGCTACGCCGTGTAGCCGTGGACAAGTGTGCAAGGCGCGTGCGGCAGGCCCTGGCCAGTGTGAGCTGGGACACCAAGCTGATCCAGTGGCTGCACACAACCCTGGTGGAGACCTTGAGTCTGCCCATGCTGGCCGCCTACCTGGATGCTTTGCAGACACTGAAAGGGAAGGTAAGGCTGTGGTTGGCGTCTGCCCTGTGTTGGGGTCAGCCAGTCCCTGATGTGGGTTCAGATGTGGGGTTTGGCGAGGTCATTACCTGGTCAGTTTGGAGGGCGTGGCTAGCCAGTATGCTATTAAAAATAGGAGATAAGGTATCATTTTACACTTGATCTGGTGTAAACATCTTCATGCCATCTCCAGGATGAGTGTGGGACCTGAAAACCAGAGTACTCATAGCCTTGCAGCTCCTGGCCTGTGTCATTGAACGTAGTGGAAGAGATGAAAGTGTACCGGGGGCAGTGTTGATAAGGGGCAAGAGGCAGGCCTGTGAGCTCAGGGGGCCGGGGGATTACAGAGGGAGGGGTACTCTGCCCTCGGTCTCTCCTCATCAAGGGATGAGCCTTCAGTTACAACACCTGAGCTGAAATAATTGATTACAAGCGCAGCATTTCCTGCCCCTGTGGTCTTACCTACCTAGAATTGCACAATGTTCACCTATTTCCCTTATTGTGATGTTAATGGCTGCATTGGGCCTCAGTGTGGTGGACAGCAGGTTCTAAAGGCCAATCATCTAACTGTCTCAGCCCTGCCACTGACCCACAGGGGAAGCTGAGACCTGTACTTCAGTTTCCTCCAAAATGTTCTTGATAACAATATCTATATGCAATTTCTGTGAGAATTAAATTAGTTCATCAAGAAAGAGTGGTGCAAAATTTTAGCTTAGTTAGCTCACAGAAACTGTTAAGGAGTACCCTTGTAGTTTCTGGAAATGTGTGAGGTACTTTGCCCCAAATCAAAATAGCCTCAGACAACCTGTATCAGTTCAGTTCGTGGAGCTGGGAATGGAGCCCAGGGCCTCACGTGTGCTAGGCAAGCGCCCTACCTCTGAGCTACATCAGTTTTTTTTTTTTTTTTTTAAGTAGATTTTCTTTTTCCTTTTCAGGCAGGTGCAAAGTTGCTTGGCCTTCAGCCATACCCCAAAAACTTTGTCTCTTGACCTGACTTTAAGTTTCAAGATGTTGAGTTTGTTAGAAAGCTACAGAAGACAGGCTTTGTATAAAACTCGGGACTAGAGATGTTCATGTTTTTATGGTAGGAAGTTTGACCCTAAATTTTTCACTTAGTGGTGTGCATAAAACAGAACTGCTCCTTGCTCTGGTGCACCTTATTTTCTAGTGGAGAACGAGATGAATGAAAATAGACCCCAGACTTCCCTAGGGGTAAATGGACCTGGACTTGGGCATAGGTGGGGTGGGACCAAGGTAGCCCTTGGCAGAGAGTGGCCTGTTCATAAATACATTCTTCCTGTGGTAAAGGTGCAGCCGTGGTATATATGCTCCAGGGGATGAGGGCCAGTAGTGCCCAGGGCATTGGTGGCTCTGCCTTGCTCGCCATAGCCAGCGTGATTACAGTCTGACTCCCTTGGCTTTATTTTTTTTATTTATTGGTAATGGGATTGAACCCAGGGGTGCTTAACCACTGAACTCTTTTTATTTTTTTCTTTTGAGAGAGGGTCTCACTAAGTTGCTGAGGCTGGCTTTGAACTTTGATTCTTTGGCTTAGCCTCCCAAGTTGCTGGAATCACAGGCATGCCCCACCACGCCCTGCTGATTCTCCTTGGTTTAGAAGCAAGTTTGTGTTTCTTCCCCATGTAAGTCCCCAGCTGGGTGTGGCCTGTGTGAATGAGGTGCATTCAGGTGAGCATGAAGGGCTTCACCGGTGGGCACTGTGTAGCCACGCTGCTGGTTTGCTGGAATGGCACAAGTTTCACTGGTATGCTAGTCAGCAGGGTTCCCAATACTTGCACTGTCCACTGGGTATGCTCTCCATGGTGCTTCCTCTAATGCCAGTCCATGTCACTCACTCACACTCTGGTTGTTTCTCAAAGGGTATAAATGATTTGCTTTTAAAGTACCTGCTGGTGTTAAGATGCAGCTGATGGGGATCTTGCTCTTGACCCACCTGCCATCTCCGCTGGCTCCATTATAAAGAGGGCAGGGAAGGTCTGGGCACAGCCTCCTGCTTGTGTGCCAAGAGGGAGTGCACCACTGGAAAGGCAGGGAGCTTGGTTTTCCTAGCACCAAGTGGAAGAGTCAGTTGTTGGTTACTTACTGTTGACAGAAGAGGAGCTTCGAGGCTTTGGGGTTTCCAGGTGTACTCTGCTGCCAGGCAGCGCTCTTGAAGTCAGCTTGGGTCGAATCCACTGCCTCCAGGTGTTGAGCAGAGAGGGAGTTGCAGGCCTAGCCAGCTTGGGATGGAGTTCTTTGGTAGTTTGGGTTAGCCTTTGTCACTAGTTTTACACTCCCCTACTTCCATAAGCGGATCCTCCACTTGAGTCCACCTGTGCCTCGAATAAGCCCCATCTGTTCTTGCCTCTGGTGCTGTCTCATCTTTTGGAATCCTGCCTGTTCCTTGCGCCTGTCTCACTTCATGAGCTGCCATCTTCAGATGAGAATTGCCTGTGAGCCGCCCCTTCTCCACAGGATGGTGGGAATCAGCAGTGTGGGGTTTCCACTGCTCCATGAGAGCTAGCACCCTGCTTCCCTGTGCCCACGTTAGTTGTGTGTCTGTCTTTCTCACCCCTCACAGGTTAAATTCCTCTGCAGGACTAGCCTGGTGCTTTGTAAGAGCAGCTGTTGCATATTATTTACTTATTTATTTTGGTGCTGGGAATTGAACCCAGAGGTGCTTAACCACTGAGCAACATCCCCAGCCCCCCCCCTTTTTTTTAAGAGAGAGAATTTTAATATTTATTTATTTTTTAGTTTTCGGCGCACACAACATCTTTGTTTGTATGTGGTGCTGAGGATCGAACCCAGACCGCACACATGCCATGCAAGCGCGCTACCGCTTGAGCCACATCCCCGGCCCTTTTAAAATTTTTTTTCATTTTGAAATGGGGCCTCACTAAGTTGCTAAGCCTGGCTTTGAACTTACGATCCTCCTGCCTCAGCCTCCCAAGCTGCTGGGATTATAGGGATGTGCCACCACGCCTGGCTGCATATTTATTTTCTAAGTGAACTAAAATGTTCTCATAATTATATCCCCTAATTTCTCATGCAAAAGTCTTTTTAATCTCTTTTTGTGTTGGCAGTGCTGGGTGGGGACCGAACCTTAGGGCCTTGTAAATGCTAAGCAAGTGCCCTGTCACTGAGCCCCTGGTTTCTCTCTCTTCAAATTGAGAGTGGCCTATCTTTTCCTGGTATCTCTGAAGTCTAACAACCTGCATCAAACCATACTTTTCATTCTCCAATCTCTCAAAAACTTTTTTTTTTTTCTTTCTGAAAAGGATCTCCAATGTGTAAAAACCTTTTCCTTCCATGAGATCACTTTGGCCTCTTGTGGGCAGTGTGCAATTCACACAGATAGTTCTTTGCAGTGTAAGCATCAGCATGTTTTAAACCTATATTTATACATCTCCAAGGTCACATCTTTGGTGGCTAGTAAAAAACAGGATATGGATAAATCATGATATACACAATATAGTTGGATGTGTTTTTTGAACACAATAATAGGTTTCATTAACAAGCCACAACTTGAAGGCTATACTCTAGAAGAAAATGCAATTTTTTAAAAAAATTATAAAATCAGCAAATGTTCACTGAGGAAATTTAGAAAATACAAAAATACATAAAGAAAAGTCACCCATAATTCCACAGTGATCATTATTATACTGACATTTGGCATGTTTTACATAAACCTTTTTTTTCTGAGTAGAAATAATTTTTTTTTTTTTTTTTTTTTTTTGTCTTACCTATAGCATTTTAGCAAAAATATTTCTTCCTTCTTTGTCTCTTTCTGTCTGTTTCTGTCTCTCAGTATTAGGGATTGAACCAGGGGTGCTGTACCACTGACCTGTATCCCCAAACCTTTTATTTATTTGAATTTTGAGACAGGGTCTTATAGCTCAGGCTGACCTCAAACTTAGAATCCTTCAAGTCACTGAGATTACAGCATGGCTACCATGCCTGGTGCCAATTATTTCTGTAGGTTATACCTGATTTAGTAAGTATTTGAAAATAATCCATGCTGGGCGTGATGGTGTACTTGTGTAATCCCCGTAGCTCTGGAGGCTGAGCCAGGAGCATCATGAGTTCAAAGCCAGCCTCAAGCAACTAGTGAGGCCTCAAGCAACTTTAACGAGACCCTGTCTCAACATAAAGAATAAAAAGGGCTGGAGATGTGACTCAGTGGTTAAGTGCCCCTGGGTTTACTTCATGGTACCCAAAAAGAAAATAATCCATAATATCCAGTTAGGTTGATAATTTACTTAGCTACTCATTTAGGTTGTTTCTGTGTTTTGATTGTTGTTGACAGAGAATTTGTCTCTGTGCAAAGCTCTCCTTGTTCGTGTGTGTGTGTGTGTGTGTATTTTTTATATAATTTCTTTTTTTTTGGTACCAGGGATTGAACCCGGGGGCAGCCCTGCTTCCCTGCACCCTTAACCACTGAGCCACATCTCAGCCTTTTAATTTTTTTATTGTGAGTCAGAGTCTCGCTGTCACTTAGGGCCTCACTAACTTGCTGAGGCTGGCTTTGAACCTGCGATCCTCCTACCTCAACCTCTCAAGTTGCTGGGGATTACAGGCATGCACCATTATGCCTGGCTTGATATAATTCTTGAGGGAAGGTTCTCAGAAGTGAAATCCTTTGGAACAGTGATGAGAATAAACTAAGGTCCCAGATGCATTTCACCAGTTTGCTTTCAAAAGGAGCGCACTCACTGTCCTTACACACTGGGGACATGCTTTTCACGCAGCTTCACGCAGCCACTTATTTGTACCTGTGCTTCACACTGAAGCATCTCCAACTTCTTCCTTCTAGATCCCGACCTTGATTGACCGCATGCTTGTGTCGTCCAACACGAAGACTGGGGCCGCAGGAGCTGAGGCCTTGTCACTGCTGCTGAAGAGGCCCTGGGACCCTGCTGTGGGGGTGCTTTCTCATAACAAGCCAGTGAGTTGAGGGGCTCAGCCATAACTGGCAGTGAGATGTTCTGACTCAAGCCCTGGCTGGGGAGGATGTAACGTTTCCCTTAATCACTCGTCTATCAGTGCCTAACATAGTTCCATAAACAAAGGTCGTGGGTTGGGTGCTCAGCCTAGAGAGTCAGTCCTGGGGGTTGGGATGAGTCTCTCACTCACCAGGTGGGACTCTCTCTTCTCAGAGCAAACTCCCTGGCTCTCCTCTGATCCTCATCGCCTCCTCGGGCCCCTCCAGCTCTGTGTTCCCCACCTCACGCCGCCACCGCTTCTGGCAGTCTCAGCTCTCCTGCTTAGGCAAGGTTTGTGGGGGGCAAGAGCACGGCTCCGGGTGGGAATAAGGTCTTGGAGGCTGGAAGAGAAGCAGCGCAGGGGGTGGTCAAAATGGACGCACTTGAAACGAGGAACATCCCATCCAGGGCTCTTGTCTGGTGTTCAAACAGCGCTTGCTGTGAGGTTGAGGGATTCAGAGCAGATTAGGCAGAATGAGAGATTGGACTTACCGCTGTGGCATGGTGCCCTTCTTTCCTCTAGGTCATTCCTGTCGCCACCCATCTGCTGAACAACGGCAGTGGGGTGGGCCTTCTGCAGTGCCTTGAGCATATGATCGGGGCGGTGAGAAGCAAAGTACTGGAGGTGAGAATGCCCCCGCCTTGGGTGGCCTGGACGCCGGTGTGCTGGGGGGTCTGCCCCAGCGCAGCCTCCTACTCACTGTCGTCTTTCTCCTCCCACGAAGATTCACAGCCATTTCCCACACAAGCCCATCATCTTGATCGGCTGGAACACAGGAGCTTTGGTGGCCTGTCAGGTAAGTGGTGTCCGTCACATTTGGAGGCGTCTTGGGGTACAGTACTACTTGCTTCTGAGGGCCACCGTTGAGGCCTCATGGTGTTTCGGTCCCAGTGCCAGATGATTACTGTATGATTGCATTTTAACTGTAAAAGACAAAACTGTAGTTGTTTTATTTTTTTAAAGTTTTTTAAAAATAACTTAATTTTTTTATGTGGTGCTGAGGATTGAACCCAGTGCTTCATGTGCAAGGCAAGTGCTTTGGAGTTGAGCTACAGCCCCAGCCCAGACTTTAGTTTTTAACTTTATTGTAGAAATTTTAACTTTATTGTAGAAAAGCAGGAATCAAAGCAGAGAAAAGCTGGTGAGTACACCACAGACCTCTTGCCTAGTTTTACCAGTGACCAGCTCATGGCAGGCTGGCTCCATCTTTCCCCTTCCTCTGCTTTCTCTACCACTCAGGTTATTTTGAAGAAAATATCATATCTTTCATTTTACACATTTCAGCATTTCTTAAAAAAAAAAAAAAAACATAAGAACTCCTGGATTCCTTTTTTTCCACGTATAAGTACCATAGGATTCTCCCAACTAAAAAAATTAATCTCGTAGGCACAAATTAATAGCTCTGGAATTTGATGTTGTGTTCATGTTCTGTCCCTTCCTTTGTACTACGTGTCCGCCAGTTTGTGTAAGTACCCCTGATGTGTCCAGAGCCCCAGTTGGTCAAGTCTGGTGGAGTAGATATCGAGAGCCCAGAGAGGGAGATGGCGGCCACCCTCACTCCTGCTCCTAGGGAGGGGGAATCAGACTGTTCCACAGTCTGAGACGTCTGGAGCAGAAAGATCTTTCTCTACTTAAGGGAGAAAGGCAACGCTTGTTGCTGTGTATTTACTCTTGGTGGAGAAAAGAGACGAGAAGTCTCGGCCTAGCAGGTTGACAAGGTTGAAATAAGAAACCTCCCTTTCTGTGCTTCCCCATCTGAGAGGACTTCACTTCTCTCCGTGGTAGCTGCCGTGGGACAGTACATCTTGTGTTAGGACAGGGGAAGAGGAAGTGGGGCTGGCCAGTGGATCTGCACATCACCTCGACACTGGGCAGGCTGAGGTACAGTGAAGTCATTTCCCTTCAGACAGACTGTGCTATTATCCACAGGTGTCAGTCATGGAGTATGTCACTGCAGTTGTCTGCCTTGGGTTTCCTCTGCTCACCGTGGACGGCCCCCGAGGGGTAAGAGTGAGATGAAGCAGGGTCACTGACAGTGGGGGAAGGGGACAGAAGAAGCACGTCCTTGTTTGTGCTGGGGTCAGTGCTAAGTGTGAACTGGCCAGATCTAACCCTGTACCTCTTTTAGGATGTGGATGATCCCCTCTTGGATATGAAGACTCCAGTCCTCTTTGTCATTGGTCAGAATTCCCTACAGTGTCACCCTGAAGCCATGGAGGACTTCCGGGAGAAGATCCGTGCTGAAAACAGCTTGGTGGTTGTTGGGGGAGCTGATGACAATCTCAGGTGGGTAGGTTCTCCTGGGGTTGTCACAGTGTTGGAGGAATGCTGTAAGGTGCACCATAACCGGCGGATAACCTGCTTAATAGTTAACAGTAGGCATTGAAATATTTTTTATTAATTTTAGATCTATAAAAAAAAGTTACAGTTTTGAACAACCAATAAAAAAAAAGAGAAAAAATTTAACCAAAAAAAAAAATGGGGGGAAAAACAAAAAAAAAAAAAAAAAGTTACAGGGCTGGGGTTATAGCTCAGTTGGTAGAACACTTGCCTAGCATGTGTGAGGTACTGGGTTTGATCCTCAGCACCATATAAAAATAAAATAAAGGTATTGTGTTCATCTACTATAAAAATATTTTTTAAAGAATTACAAAACTGAGGACAAGAAAAATCATATGCCCTTCCCCTGGATTTCCCAAATGTTGGCATGTTGCATAACTGAAGGATAATTCTCAAAGTCAGGAAGTGAACATTGTTGTAATGGCATTAGCTAATCTGTAGACTCAGGTCTCATCAGTTGTCTCCCTAAGGCCCTTTTCCCGGTTCCACATAACTGGTTCAACATAATCCAGGATCCCACATAACTCTGTGGTGGCCATGCATCTTCAGTCTCCTTCCTTTGTCTCCCCATTCCCACCCCATGGCACTGGGCACTGAGTCCAAGGGTGCTCTGCCACAAGCTACACTCTCGCCCTTTTTGGGTTTTACTTATTTTAGTTTATTTAATTTTTGGTACTGGGGATTTAATCCAGGGATACTTCATCACTGAGCCACATCTCCAACCCTTTTTATTTTTTATTTTGTGACAGGGTTTCACTGAGTTGCTGAGGGCTTTGCTAAGTTGCTGAGGCTGGCTTTGAACTTGAGATCCCCCTGCCTCAGCCTCCCGAACCGCCACCAGCTTTGTTTTGAGACAGAGACTAGGCTGCCCAGACTGAATTCAAACTTGTAGTGCCTGCCTCAACCTCCTGAGTTGCTGGGTTTACAGGTGTGCACCGCCATATGAGGCTTCCTTTGTCTTTATGACCTTGACACTTGAAAATTATTGGCCAGTTATTTTGTAGACGGTCCCTCGCTTTGGGGTTTTCACTTTTCTTCTTGGTTACATTGAAGACATGCATTTTTGGCAGGAATGCCACAGAAGGTTGTGTTCTTGGCCCTTATCATTTACTCCCATAACAGAATTCCTGTTCCTCCTGTCACAGATTATCACCACTGATAGTCCCTCTGCTACAGTGGTTTAGGTGGCTTCTTCCAGGTTCTCTACAACGAAATTACGGTTTTTCCCTTTGTAGTTAGTAGTTATCTTGTAGGGGGAAGCCTCCTTGAGACACTGCAGAAATACTCTTTTGTCAATGTACTTCTTTTATTTATTTATTTGTTTGTTTGGTTATTGGTTATGGGTGGACACAATATCTTTATTATTTTTTTTTTTTAATGTGGTGCTGAGGATCAAGCCCAGTGCCTCACGCATGCCAGGCTAGTGTGCTCTGCCTCTGAGCCACAACCCCAGCCCCTTGTGAATGTACTTTCACTGGAGTAGGCATTTTTAAAAATTGTGTTTCTATTGAGGATGAGTGAAGGTAGATGTTATTTGCATTAAGCCTCTTTTGATATATGTTGGAGTACAAGTACAGCTAAAGTTTGGAACGAGATGACTGCTTTTGCCTTTCGATGCTGGGACAGAGAACTTTAGTAGTGTTGTCATGAAGTGTACTAAAAAAGAGGGTGCATCTTTTATTTACATTGGTTTTCTTAGTAATTCAGACCTTCTCGTCTACGGGAGAAAGTTATGTGTGCTGAGTTTCTGTAGGGAGTGCGGAGAGGTGACTGCTGCTCCCCACTTTCCTTGTGGGCTGCTTATGACATTCATGTGGTGGTTTGGGTTTTTTTTTTTTTTTTTTTTTTTTTTTAATTTTGAGGCAGAGCCTCATTAAGCTGCTAAAATGGGCCTCAGACTTTGGCTCCTCCTGCTCAGCCTCCTCAGTGTTTGGGATCACAGGAATCACTGCGTGCCTGGCTGCGTGTGTCGAGTATTGGACAGAGAACTGGGAGCCTCCATTGATATTGACCCTTTTGCTCAGAAATTTGGGCACTCACTGTCCTCATCTGAGAAATGAGGGTGTTAACAGGTTCAGAGGCAACAGCAGTCAATTGGGATTTCAGGATTTGGAGTTTCGGTAATACTGTTCTCCGTCCTGTAGTGTGGGGACTTGGTTGTCCCTTTGCCAGGATCTCTGGTCAGAAGCCAGGGTATTCAAGGCTAGCTCTCAAAGTGGGGAATCCAGCCAACTATGGTCATTTTCTCTTACCCTTTCAGAACTAGCCTGGAACCCCCTTTCTTCTGCTAAACCACTAACCTTAGGCTTGGAGACTGGGTCTGGGGGCCTCTCAGGGCCTCGAAGTCCAGGTGGACTTTACCTATTGAGACAGAGGTGTGGTAGTTGTGGAGGGGATAGTCCCAGGCACTGTGCCTGCTTTTCCAGGTGGGTTGTTTAGCTCAGTCCCACAACTTCCTGAATGAGTATTATGATTCCCCATTTTGTGATGTAAACACAAGCTCAGAGAGGTTGTGTCACCTGCCTGAGGGCTAATAAAGCGCTACTTCCTGGGTTCAGGAAGTGATAAAAGAGAAATAAATTCTTATTTCCTTAGGATGCTATGGAATATTTAAAAAGTAAGCATTTTCTTCTTTTTATCTCTTAGAATAAGCAAAGCAAAGAAGAAATCAGAAGGGTTGACTCAAAGCATGGTGGACAGATGTATTCAGGTGAGCCCTTGTCTCGTGCTTCTCTTGGCGAGGCCCGCCTCTGTTGCCTTTTAGGTGCTGTCTTGGCAGCAGCTCGCTGAAGGGTGCGGGGTATCCCTGGGGCCTCTGGTAGGCCTAAATCACAAGTGAAGGAGAGTGATGACCTGGGCGGAGGCCAAGCGGCAGGAGAGAGGGTCTGCGGGAGTGGGATGGAGGACACAGAGGCACCTGCAGCTGTGTGGAAGCCTGGGCTTTGCGCAGGCGCTGTGAGTGGGGGAGCACCAGCACACTCAGGCCAGAGCCACAGTAGGGTCCCATTGGCTTGATGCTCTCTGGGAGTTTCTGTCCTCTGATGGAGGACTCATTTGCACCAGGATGAGATTGTGGACTTCCTGACGGGAGTGCTCACTCGCTCTGAGGGCCATGTGGGCTCGGAGCCTCGGGATCAGGATGCTGAGAAGAAGAAGAAGCCCCGTGATGTGGCCCGAAGAGACCTGGCCTTTGAAGTCCCTGAGCGGGGCAGTCGACCTGCTTCCCCGGCCGCCAAGCTGCCCGCCTCACCCTCAGGCTCAGAGGTAGGGTGGGCGGGAGGGAGCCTTCTTGCTGAGTGTGAGGACCTCGCTGTGGGCTCTCCAGCCTCCTGTGGGTGCTTATGAGTCCCTCTGAGGAGGCTCCAGGGGGACCTGCTGACTATGGTCCAATTCCAAGCAACATTAGCTCATCTCTTGGCCTTCTCCTCAGGATCTCTCCAGTGTGTCCAGCAGCCCCACCTCCAGTCCCAAGACCAAAGTGACCACAGTGACCTCTGCTCAGAAGTCCAGCCAGATCGGGAGCTCCCAGCTGCTGAAGAGACACGTGCAGCGGGCAGAAGCCATGCTGACCCACAAACAAGCCCAGGGTACAGGCTCCGGGCCCAGTGGCCTCTTGTGGGTTCTGTCTTCGGCAGGTGGTTTCAGGTGGTGGTTGGGAAGCACTGGGTCTGCAGCTTTTTCCAGGAGAGTATGAGTGGCTCCTTTCCCACATTCCTGTCCAGGCAGAATTAGGTTACAGTGAATCCCAAAGGCTGTGCGTTACTGGGGCTTTGTGGTCACTAGTTACAGATTTGCCTTGGTGTGTTGTCAGGTTTATGAGCTGACTCGTGCACGTTGGCCTAACCTTTTTTTCTAACCTCTAATTGGGGAAGCTGTTGTCTTCCCTTGCTCTAAGCCTCGTCAGCCACTCCTGCTGACGGTGTGTGTATGGAGTGACCGATTTTAGTCATCAGGTTCTAGGGCATGTCACCTGGTGTAGGCCCTTCCTTTGCTTTGCCTTTCTTCAAGGTTAAGGTTCTCACTCTGGGACCTTCCACAAAGTTGATCAGAACTCTACAGATAAGCGTAGAGGGAAATGCTTGTGTGGTTGAGCTCAGTGTGGAGGCCGCAAGGCCATGTGAGGAGCTGTAGAGGAGGTTGTTGGGTCAAGGAAGCAGCAGCAACAGTCCCTTCCCTGAGCCATAGTCATCCTGGTGGGCAACCCTGAGCTAAGGCCAAGATACTTGATGACATATCCAAGTGCACAGATCATCAAGGTTCTCAGTTGGAAGTGAGAGTGCTCGGAAGGGGCAGTGGCTGGAGATGGCTATCAGGTAGAGGACTCGGACGAGAGGAGGTGGATCGGCTTGACACCCCTGTGTTGCTTTTGGTGGAGTCACGAGGTCAGAACTTATCCCCAGGCCTCTTGGGAGATTGCTCATAAGAATGCTGCTAACCGGGAGCAGAGGGTGATTGCGTGGGCAAAGGCAAAAAGGGGGCTTGGCCCCTACAATCTGCCTGGATGCCCTGTGACAGTCCTTTTCCTGAGTGTTGGCCAGAGCCAAGTCTTGGGTGGGCGGTGTACCTTTAGGTGGTTGATGAAGACGAGCTGTGGTCTGTGGTGCTCATGGATGGCATGATTAGTTGAGCATCTACTTAGTTCTGGTGGGCTGGGCTTGAAACAGCACCCAGAGTGCCGTAGGAGATAGGAGCAGCTGTGGAAGCCTGGCTTTAGCAGAGCTGGTGGGTGAGCATGGAGTAATAGCCAACAGAAAGGAAGCCCTCACTGTTCACGCCTTCCTCTTGCCCTGGCCTTGCTCAGCTCATGAGTCTTGACCATGGCCCTGTGAGGCTGTGTGTGTCCTGTCCAGTGTGTAGATAATTCTGTGGAGCTCCTGCCTGGCAGGTCAGGAAACCCTGGCAGTGATGTCAGAGAGCCCCATGGACCGTTTTCATCTCTTCCTGTTCCTTCTTTCCTGTTCCTCTGGCTGGCTGTGATTCTGTGATTCTCTCTGATTCCTTCTAGCACAGTTTGCTGCTTTTCTGAAACAAAACATGCTGGTGAGGAAAGCTCTTCCTCCTGGCGCCTCCTCCTGTCTCTTTGGTGAGTATTGCTCTTCTCTGCTGTCCTCCTTCTCCCTCACCTCCGTAGTCTCTTCCTGTCCTCTGCCTCCTCCTGGCTCCTGGTTCTCTTGGGCCGATTCCCTTCTTCCCACCTTCCTTCCCACCTTGGTCTTTGTTCTCTGTCCTTGTGTTTGCTTCTCCTGGGGTTTTCCTTTCTCTCTGACTGGTTGTTTCACTGTGGCTCTTGCTCTGCTGCTCCGGTGTGTGCCTGGGCCTGTAGCCTGTGGCGTGTTTTCTTGTCTGTGTGCCCCCCACCTCTGTCTCCTTGTTTCATTCCTGGCAGCTGCAGGCACACTGGCCCTTCACCAGCATGAAGCCCATCACTGCTCCTGCCCCCCCCCCGCCCCCGCCACCTCTGAGTTCAACCAGTGCATTTGTCCCTAAGCACTGCCCCCAACATGGTGGTGCCCTCTGGTGGCCCCGTGCCAGGAGTCCCCCATCCTCGTGTGACTGCTGCCCTCCTTCCCACCTCTAGCCCTGCTCGCCTGTGTTGAGAGGGCCTGGGGGGAGTTCTGGGCGTCAGGGGGAGGGGACCTGTGAGGACACCTAAGGACAGCGTAGGTGCAAAAGCGTGGCCATGCGCATGACGAGTCTGTTCAAGTCAGTGTGTTAGCAGATGGCCTTCTCTGTACTAGCGTGGGTGACGCAGCATAGGCCCCCACTGCCCTGTTGTCTCTGGGCAGGAGCGTGAGGCTTCCTGGGCTGAGGTCTCCCTCACCTTGTGGCTGCTCAGAGCCAGCCTCAAGTCCTGGTGACAGTGCTTCTCACGGCCTCCATTTGGCAGGGAGGCCTTAGCCTCCTGCCCTTAGGGTGGAGCCCCCAAGAGCATGCTGAGGGGCTCCCTTTCACAGGGGAGCAGGTGGCCTGCTCCTCCGTGGGTTCTCCATAGAGTGCTTACCATCCCCCTGCTGAGGGACGGTGGGGGGAGGCCGTGCAGCAGGAAGCGGTCACCTTCCTTCTCTCTGGCCAGCACTGTCAACTGCACTATGGTGAGTCCGTTTGTGGTGTGACCTTTGCCAGGTGGCGGCAACATGTGTGCCCCTAGATCCTGCCTGCTGACGGCCTCACCTTCCCACTGCAGGGCAGCTGGGGATGGGGTGGAGCCCTCCTCTGAGGTGGGCTTGTGGACTGTGGGCCCCACGTGGGGCGGTTCCCCCGTAGGTTCCCAAGGTGGCCCGTGCTGCTGGCGGTGACTGGCAGTGAGGACGTGCTGTTTTGGCTCATGGTGATCTCACCTCAGCTCCGTCTCTTAGTTCCCATTTCATCAGAACCAGCAGAGGAGGCAGAGAAGGAGGAGCTCAGGGTTCAGCTGAAGCGGCACCACCCCTCCAGCCCCCTTCCCGGCAGTAAGACCTCCAAGCGACCCAAGATCAAGGTGTCCCTTATTTCTCAGGGGGACACGGCTGGAGGGCCTTGTGTTGCTTCCCAAGGAGGAGCTCCAGATGGTGAGTCTCTTGGCCTCCTTAGTAAGATGGCCGGCCATCTGGGCCTTGGCCTGGCCCCCACGGGTGGGTGACTCACCTTCCCCCTGCTGCAGCAGGTGTGAGAGTGCGGGAGATGGAGCTGGCACGCCTGGCGGAGTGCTGGTGACAGGAAGGGAGATGGGAAGCGCCGCAGGGCTGCTGCATGCTTTGGTTTCAGTGAAAGATGATGGGAGACCCCAGAAAGCTTTAAGTAGAGGGAGGCAAGCCCCAGCCCCCCTCTGACAACTGTGCTCTTTCGTCCTGCAGTCTTCCCCTAATGTCTGGTTAGCCTGGGCTGTGGGTCTCGGGAAGGGAGGACTGACAGTGACTTTGGTGGTTTCCGTCTCTCAGCGGCGGGCGGGAAGGCCATCGCTGTGACGCTGGGGCAGGCGTCAGCAGGTGGACTGCTCCCCACAGCCAGGTGAGTCTTGCTTGTTTGGTCCTGGTCCCTTCTTCCTGTCACCCCTTATCTGGCTCATTTGTTGTTTGGAAAGATGGTGGCGTCTGTGTTCTGTTGGTCATGGGACTGTGGCTTCTTTCTCATGGGGATGTCTGTCTTTGATTTGGGTCAGCCCAGGGCTCATTTTTACTTAGAGATTGCGGAACATGCCCTGGGTCTTGCTCTGAGGCCTGAGTTCTTTACTTTAGGCCTGACTTAGGAGGACCAGAGCTGGGTGGTTCAGGGATGTCCAGGTGAAGAGCTTGGGGCCCGCTTGTCCCTCATGTGGCACTGGGGTCTGTTGCCTTCTGACCTTTGGGTGAAGCTTCTGTTCTCTGTGTTTCCAGGCCAAGTGCTTCTGAAGGTGTCGCGGCCAGCCCAGCCCCCTCAGTGGTCTCTGGAAGCACCACACCCAGCGCCCTGCACACACTCCAGAGCCGCTTGGTGGCCACCTCTCCTGGCGGCTCCCTCCCAGGTATCTATCTGTTTGCCCAGCCTCCTTGCTCCTGGCTGTCTTTTTGGTCTGTTGCTGGAAAGTGGTCCTCGAAAAGAACGTGACTGACCTGGACTGGTGCCGTCCTGTCCTCCCCTAGGCGCCACATCAGCCAGCAGCCTCCTGCAGGGCCTCAGCTTCAGCTTGCAGGACATCAGCAGCAAGAGCTCTGGCCCCTCCGCAAACCCTGGCCTCCCTGGCCCTGGGCCAGCCCCGCAGGTGTGCCTCTGCCTTCCCCTGCTGGGCGGCTGCGGGAGGAGGCTTCCTTGCCTTGTTTGGTTTGGGCAGGGTGACTGGGCCAGGAGTTGTGGGCCAAGGACAAACAGCCGTCCTGCCACACAGCCGGGGGCTGCCAGAGGTTAAGATCCATTATTCACCTTATGGCCTAGGCAAGATTCTTTACCTTTCTGTAAAATGAGATCGTGGTGGTAGCTCCCTTACAGTGTTATGAGGGGTAAGGTGTAAGTGCAGGCCCTGGAAGGGGACCCTGCATGTGGCAGGCGCTCAGTACGTGATAGTCTGGGGGCCCTCCAAGCTCGCATGTTGCGGGTAGGCGGCAGCTTCTGATCATCTGGGCTTGTGTGTCCCATAGGCCACCAGTGTGAAGTTGCCCACCCCCATGCAGAGTCTGGGTGCCATCACCACGGGCACCAGCACCATTGTCCGTACCATCCCTGTGGCTACCACCCTCTCCTCCTTGGGTGCCACTCCTGGTGGGAAGCCCACAGCCATCCACCAGCTGCTGACCAATGGGGGCCTTGCTAAGTTAGCAAGTAGCCTTCCTGGCCTGGCTCAGATCTCTAACCAGGCATCAGGTGAGTCTCATGAAACTGTCGGGACTTCCAGATCTGGGCTCTCCCCGGGGACCTTTCCATCTTCCGCAGGCCAGGTCTGAACCCCACCCCCCAGGGTCCTGGCCTTACCTTTGGGCTCAGCTGTGTGGACCCATCCTCTAGAGGGTGAGAGGACACCAGCGGTTACCTGCTGCTTCTGATTCACTGGTGGGGCACAAATGTCCCGCTGGGGTGGAGGCTGGGGAGACGGGAAGCCTCAGCAGAAAGTGGGCACTGTGGCTAGAAACCCTGCCTGCTGTCGCCCTCAGGCCTGAAGGTCCCCACCACCATCACTCTGACTCTCCGTGGCCAGCCTAGCAGGATCACCACGCTGAGTCCCATGGGCTCAGGAGCAGCTCCGTCTGAGGAGGCCACCTCCCAGGTGCTGCCCTCTAGCTCCCAGGTGAGTCTGCCTGAAAGGACCAAGGACACAGGTTGTAGTCTGGGCAGTATGGGGCTGGTGGACTGGATGGCCAGCCAGAGGGGTTGCCGCTATATTGCGCCTGTGGACAGGCCAGGTCTCACAGAGGTGACACCTCACTATGACAGCTTGATGTGGGTCTCGCAAAGTTTTCTTCCTATGTGGAGTTCACAGCTCTGTTGCGCGGAGCCTCGTTTCTGGCACGTGAGCAGAGCCTGTGTGCGGCGTTCCCTGGACTCCCCGCCTCCTGTTCTTGGCTTCCTTGTGCAGGGGTGGCACTCAAGGGGTCACAGCCTCTTGCAGCTTTCCAGGCCTCTTCCAGCCTCTCGAGGTCTCGGTGTTCACTGCTGTCTTCAGGGTGCAGCCAGGTTTACAGCTCTTGCCCATCAGCTCCTCTTGGCCAATCTGGTTTCCATTGTGACCTTTTCAAGTGAAATGTTTCTAATCTTAAAATGGCGATTTGAGGAGCCACCCAAAGATTATAGGTTAAACCCTAAAATGGTCCAGTTCAGTATTGAGCATGCTTTTCCCCAGTGTGCGCTGTTGAGCCAGGGCAGGTGACAGTTCCTGAGCTGTTGTCCACAAGCCCTCCACCTCTTCCTCTTCAGGGAAAACTGCAGAGAGATCAGTGCCTGGCATTCGTTGTTGGTTAGGGTCATAGCTGCCTCTTTTTGCAGAGGGCGGAACTGTTTTCATTTGACTCCTTATTTTTTCAGCTATAAAAGCAGTTATGTTAACTTTAAATTTTAATTCAAATATCACAGAAATGACGCTCCTCCCAGAGGTGATATCTCACTCTGACAGCTTGATGTGGGGTCTCCCAGATTTTTCTTCATAGGGAGTTTATTACTTATTTTAGGAAAGAAGAGGTCACAGAGCATAGATTATATTGTAAAGAGCCTTTGTCTATGGATAGTGTTGTGACGTGTTTTCCTGTCAGTTGCAGAGACCTGTCCGTCTCTTCAGAGGTTGGCAAGTTCTTACTGTGTGGATGTTGACAGCACATCTCACCACCTCCAAGGGCAGGGTTGGGTTTCATTTTGTCACATGGTGAGCGCCTTTGCTTCTGATGCTTGTGTCCCTCTAGGAGCGTCTCTGTGAGCTTGAGACCAGTAAGTGGAGGGTATGTGCAGCTAACATCTGGCCAGCTGCTGACTAATTACCTTCAACTCATTTAGCCAATCTCCAGTTCCAGCCACAGGGGTAAAAGTACCTGTTTATTCTAGCTAGTGGCTGGTCTTTTTTTTTTTTAACTGAAGCATTGAGTGCTTAGCTTTGATTTCAAGATTATTTATTATATGGACATTTAATATATATAGTAAAATCCTTACATATTTCCCTATATGCATCCAAAGTTTTGTGTCTGAAGGAAGCTAGTCCTATCATAAGAATATAAAAATAATCTTTTTGTTTTCTAAATTTTTAGTTGTGGCAAAATACATCAGCATCCAGTTTACCACACTAGCCACATTTGAGCACAGTTGGTGGCCTTACGCAAACTCATGCTGCCACTCAGCCAGCACTGACAGCCTCCCCACCAGGGCTTTCCTGTCATTCCATCATGAAGCTCTGTTTCTGTATTTTCTTGCACTGCTTTTATGAATTGCTTTGTTCCGTAGTCCACTTGGAATTTTATTTTGTGTGTTCACAGAGGCAAGGATGAGTCCATCTTCTGTCCTCAATTGAACTCTGCTGCTCTTACATTCCAGTCTGTTCTGTAGCCTGGATCTGTCTCTTCCTGTAGTTTGAAAGTGCAGCTCCTGGGGGTGCTGGGCATAGAGGTCATTGGCATGCACAAGGCCCTGGGTTCAGTCCCCAGTGCCCCCCACACACACACAAAAAAGAAAAAGAAAAGGAAGAAAATGCAGATCCTCAAGGAAGTTTGCTGAGATCATCTTTATTCTTTTCCTTTCTCTTGATAAATAATGGGTCTTTAATTATGTCTGTTGGTCTTTTATAATCCAGTAAGATAAATGAGTATGAACATTTCCTTTTTTTTTTTAATCAGTTAAAAATATGAGTTACTTTAATAGATTTTCTCATACTGAACTGTCTGAATTCTAGGTTCAGTGGCTCATTCATTACGTCCTGTTCTTTTCGAGATGGATCATCTTGCCTCAGTCTCCCGTGTAGCTGGGATTACAGGCATGCACCACCATGCCTGGTTTCCTATTCTTCTGTTTTTACACATCCCTTACTTATTTTTATTGTGCAGACAAAGGAAACAAGACCCTATCAAAAATTGAGAACAAAATGAGAAAAAAAAAACAGTATTTCCAAGGAAAAGCATGTTTCTTCTTTTGATTATCTTTTACTTGGGATTTTGGCCTGTTTATCAGTCAGATTGGCTGGTAGTTGTCTTCTCCCCTCCTCTGCGTGTGTGTGGGATGTGTACATGTGCACACACACTGTCCTTGTCTAGCTGGTCCTTAAAGAATGAAACAGGAAGTGTGTTGTTGTTTTTTTCCCCCCCCCTCTCATGCCCTAAAACAATTTAACTAGTAAAAAAGGCTCTGGTCCTTGGTGGGTTGATAGAAGTGACCCACAAAGCCCTTGGACCCTGTCTCGGGCTGACTGCTGTTGCAGGTGCCACATTGGTGCAGAGCTGGACCTCAGGTGCCTTCCCTCTAGAGCAGGTGCTGCTCCCCGGCCTGCTGTGGCCTGGAGGGAGCTGGTTAGTGCTGGGAAGAGAGTCTGGTCACTGGGAGTCTCGTTCTCCACCCCTGAAATGAAGGACGGGGTAGTTAGAATTCTGTTCTTGGACCCAATGGTGTGGATGTTAGATTGGCTTTTGCCTGAGAAAGATGGGTGTGTGGTGTTGGGTGTGGGCCAGGGTGGTCCTTTTCCAACAGAAGGTGGGTATGAGATCAGGGCTTGCTGACTCCTCACTCACACTGCCAGACAGTACGGTATTAAGGAAAGATCACCAAACAGGCCATCTGTTTTCAGCTAGCTGTGTGATCCTGAGCAAATTACCTGACCTTTCTGGGCTTTGCTTTTCTCATCTAGTTCAGTGAGGAAGTTGGCTTTTATATGTAAATGTTGTGGAGAGATTAGTAGCTACTCAGACTCTCCTAGGGCTTCGGGAACACAAATGTTTAAATGTGAGAAACAAAGCACTCATATTTTACATTTATGAGGCAATTGGAAATTTGAACACACACTGGATAGTTTGTTGATATGAAGGAGTTGCTAACCTTTTTATGTGTGATCATGAATTTATTGTATTTAAGTTTAAAAAAAAAACAATCCTTTTTATTCTGGGCTTACCTACCATATTATTAATGGATGGAAGTGAGTTTAGAAGGATTGCTAACCTCAGCTAGGCTATGGAGGGTCTGTGAAGGCACCCAATTATCTGTGTGGCTTCTGGCACTGACTGGTAGTCACGCCTGTCTTTGTGGGAATGGCCTGTTGTAGGGAGAGGCTGTGTTGAGCCCTGCAGGGTCCTGAGGATGGACTTCTTGCTCATGGTCACTGCTGACTGGACTTGCACGGTCCCCTGGCCACCCAGGACTGCAGCAGGCTGGAGGCAGCCTTCTAGCTGCCCACAGTAGGGGGCCTTGCAGCAGCCTGGGGCTGGACAGCAGGGAGGCTGTCCCAGGAGGTCTCCGTGGTCACCCTTCTTCCTTCCCCTCCCCGTGCCACATCTTCCTCCCTTGACTGCGTTCCCAGGGTTCCCTGCAGGTGCCATCTGGAGAAGCTGTGGAAGGCGTGCACAGCAGGTGCCAGCCGTCCCCTCGGCTCCTCCTCCCAGCTTTTTAAATTTTGTTTTTCTTGGACACAATCCCTTTATTTTTATTTATGCATGTGTTTATTTTGTGTGGTGCTAAAGATGGAACCTGGGCCTCGCAGTGCTAGGCAAACATCCACTGCTGAGCCCCGCCCCCGCCCCCCCCGCCCTATATTTTTGGGTGTGGGGGGGGGGGGGGGGGGGGGGGGGCCGCCGGTGGCCCCCCACCGGCCCCCCCCCCCCCCCCGCCCCCGGGCTCAGCGTTTGTGGCATACTCCACCCCAGATGTCTAGGCCCTAAAAACGCAGTTGTCAGAATAGTCAAGGAGCCTTCCCTTCAGTCCTGTCGCCCTGTGGGACTCGCCCGGTTCCTCCCGGTCCCTCTGTCTGCATTCCTTCCTGTCCTCCAGGGAGAGCTGACCTTGGGGTGAGCACCCACGGTACTGTGGGTGCTCTGTGAGCTCTCTCACTGATCCTCGCACCACCCTGCAAGCAGGCGCTGTCACCTGTGTCTTGCAGGCGAGGGGGAGGGCTGCAGAGCCTGGGCCGTCGCCGGAGGAGTGTGGTGCTCCTGTTTACGTGCTGTGTTCAGCCTCTTCCCTGCTGAGGGCTACTTCTTGGGATGTCAGAAGAGTGGGGTGAGGGTGAGGGGTCGGAGGTGGCCACTGGCTAAATGTTGACCCTGTTCACTGCTCTCCTGCCACAGCGCCTGCCTCCAGCCCCCTGAAGACGCCAAGCCACGCGTCCTCCTTACTAGGCTGGTGATGGCTGCCCGCGGTGGGCCTGGGCTGGTGCACGGTCCCACTGAGCTGAGTGTCTGAAGACCCCTTGAAGATGGTCATTCTGTCGCTCCGCCAACTGTCATCAGGGTTGGGCCTCTGAATGTCGAGAAACCCTTAGGCCAGGTGACAAGGTGCCATCCAGGGGAGCAGCATCTTCTGGGACCTGCGAGCCTGGTTCCTGGGATGCCCCCTTCTCAGCAGATCTGGTCGGGTCTGGTCCAGGGCACTTCCTCCCCAGCTCAGCACAGCTGGACCTGGGTTCATGTTCACCACTCACTGCACGTCACAGAGGAGGACATGGGAACCATTCTGGGCTGTGGGGTTAAGAGCAGGAGCCCGCAGCCCGTTCAGGACCAGCAGGGCTTGTCTTGGATATCACCTGCTTTGCTGAGCAGCCCTTGGAATTGAGAAACCACCTCAGGGACCAAGCAGCCTGCCGAAGCCCCCGGCTTTCAGCGGTTTCATGATGAAGGCAAAGAGAACTGGGCCGTGTTGTCTTCCAGCCCCTTTGGCCACTGTGGGAGCAGAAGTTGCCAAGGGGTGACAGCTGGCCCTTTGTCCTTTTCCCCATGTGCTGGGCAGTTTCTGCGTCCAGAGAGCCTGCAGGTCCAGGAAGCAGCTGGCGGGGGCGCCAGAGAGCCCTGAATGCAGACGGTGTGGGCCTGGGCTCGGCATCTGGCCAGAGTTGAGAAGCAGCAGCCCCAGGTCAGGGGGACCCTGAGGCCTGTCTGCAGCGCCTGGAGGTGAGGCAGGGACCACCAGCCACAGTAGCCATGGTCGTGCCACTGGCCTGGAGGATGCTGGGGCAGCAGGGTGGCAAAGGCTGTGCTCCAGGATTTCTGTTTCACACAATGTTTTGTCTCCTGCTTTGTAAGTGGAACGATGAGTGGCAGTGACTCTACCAGGCAGGGTTTCGAATGCCAGCCTGAGTGAGCTCTGCTGATCGTGCTCCCTGGGGGACTGGTGGCTGAAGATGGAGCCCCGAGCCCCACCCTGCCTCTTCACGACACGGAGCAAAGGTAGTTTATTAGTGTTTGACTTTAAGCCTGGGCTCCAGAGCTGACTCCCTTCCCTTCCACACATGCAAGGTTGGCAGCCAGGGAGACAAGTAGCCAACCCAGGGTGACTGTGTGTAGCCCTGGGCCCCGACCCCCGCCAGACCACCTATGTTCAGTCCCAGGGCCTCAGAGCAGCCGCCTTGAGGGAGAGCACGGTGTTCCTGCAGCCCACACCCTCCCTCCCTGTCTCAGCGGGGCATTAAGGGGCGGGTGGCATTTTGTCATTAGCTGTAGGCAGCTGCTTTCTGGAGTCCAGCAGACGATCTAGTAAATTAAGAAAGGTGTGAGACCTGAGAGAGGCACCAAGGCTCAGGGTCTTGGTGGCTGTGTGGTGGGTCACAGCATGCCAGAAGAGCAGAGCGTTAACACTGCGAGCCTCCGCAACTCTTTGGGGACTCATTTAGGACATGCAGAAGGCTGTGGATTACCCTTGTGACAGGTGAGCAGCCTGGACAGTGCTGGAGGGGCTGCTTCTGACAGATGCTGGGCCCAAAGACAAACTCATATGTTGTCCTACTTATCTGGGGGCAGCCCCGGGGCCACGAGCTCAGAGGCAGTACTCTTGGTGGAAAACATGGAAGGATCAAGAAGCCTTTACGTTCTTGGGTGATGGGTGTTTGTGGATGTCCTGTGGAAGATGTCCTTGGACTTTCAGGAGAGGTCACTGAGGGGCGAAGACCCTGTGTCACCCTTGGTCCCACTGCAGAACAGCCTTGGGCTGGGTGGGTTAGAGCCGAGCACTGGCAGAAACAATTAAAAATCCCAAACCACCGTGGCTCGCTTCAGCCTGTTTTCATTTGACTTCATGTTTTTCTCTACCTGGTAAATGGGTGCCAGAGATAACACCCATACCGTGGAGCCCATGATCACCCCACCAGTGTTGGGTGCTGTGGTTCCTTTCTGACCTGCGAGGACACCAAGGCACAGAGAAGCCACACCGCAGGCAGAGGCAGAAACAGAACAGAACCCAGGCGGCCTCGTGTCTGTTCTGTGCACTGTGTTGGGGTCCGACCCGGAGCCAGAGGGAGGTCAGCCAGGAGGTGAGGCTTGGCTTGGCCCACAGGGTGCTCCTTTTCAGTGCACCTCCCCCAGATCAAGCGGGCCTCTGGCTGGGCCTTAGAGATGAGCATCCCTCTGCACAGTCGACCCGCTGAGCCCCAGATGGGTGCGTGGATCCCAGCCCCAGGCTGTTTGTGAACTTGGGCCCAGAGGACCCTCCAGTTCCGCATCTGTACTTGGCATTGGCCCCTCTGGTGGAGGCCGTGGTGCTGCTGGCTGCTGGCACACTGAGCACAACTCTGACCCATAGTAGAGCCCTGCTGTGCTCCTTCCGACCCCAGGCCCCTAGCCTTGCCCACAGGGGAGCCAGAGCAGCAGGCTGTTAGGCCTGGGGAGTGGAGGTCAGGGCTTCAGAGAACCAGGGCAGTGGGCCCTCCCTCCCCTCGCCTCCATTCCTGAGCTGTTTCAGTCAGGACTGAGGGTGAGCAAAGCAGTCTGGGCAGGGAGCCTCATGGTCCCGACCTCTCCTGACTTGAACTCTCCTTCACCCTGGGACTCTGCAGCCCAGTCCTCCCGGTGACTGGCAGTCCCTCTCTTCCTCCTGCTGGCTAGCGGTACCCCCCTCCCCCCCGCCCTGATTGAAGGTGCAGCCTGGTGTCTCCCTGATGAGAGGCTCCTATCTCTTCCTACATCCTGTCCTGGGTAGTACAGGTTCGCACTGTCACTTTTCCAGGAGGAGATGGAGGGATGAGACAGGCAAAACTCAGGCTGCTGTTGGGCTGCGAGTGTGTTTTTAACTTGCACCAGAATATAGAGATACCCATGTACTCTGGCCACGTCCCCAGTGCTCACATGTCATGGAAAGATGATGCCACATCAAGACCAGGACTCTGGCACGCGCACAGTGAACTCCACTCCATTGCTGTACTCTGCAGCCACCGTCGAGATGAGAGCTGTTCCACCCGCACCGTCACCCCCACACCTGTCCCCCATTCCTAACCCACTGCAGCCCCTCATCTCTTTGACGTGTCTAGGACTAGGATCCTACAGTATGTGACTTCGTGCTTTCTTTTTTTTTTTAATTTCTGTTACTGCAGATTGAACCCACGGGCACTTTACCACTGAGCCACATCCCCAGCCCTTTTTATTTTTCTATTTTGAGACAGGGTATAAGTTGCTTAGGGTCTTGCTTAAGCTGAAGCTTAGCCTCAAACTTGGGATCCTCCTGCCTTAGCCTCCTAAGTCATTGGGATCACAGGTGTGTGCTACTGTGCCCAGTTGTAATTTGTGTGTGTGTGTGTGTGGTGGTGGTGTTTTGTTTTGTTTTGTTTTTGCGTTCTAACCTGCTTACATCATTGGAAGTGCTTTGTAAACAGACAGCATTTAGCATGATTTATTTTTTTCTCTGCCAATCTTTTTCTTTTAATTGGTGTTTTTAGATTGTTCCTGTTATATGTAATTATAGATATGTTAGTGCTTAAGTCTGCTGTTTTAATTTTTGGGTTTGGTCTGTTTTCTCTTTCTTTTTCTTGGATTAATTTAACATTTTTTATGAATACAGTTTTGATTTGTCCATAGGTTTGGGGTTTTTTTGGTGTGTGTGTGGTGCTGGGGATTGAACTCGGGGCCTATTGCATGGGAGGCAAGCACTCTACCAGCTGAGCTGTATCCCCAGCCCCGTCTATAGTATTTTTCACTATATTTCTTTTATAGTTTTTTTTAGTAGTACTTTAAAGTGTTACATTATATGGAGACCAGTGGACTGCTAAATAAGCTACATATAATCTTCTCCTGCTTCCAGTATGATTTTCTGTCTACTTTAGTGTTCAAAGTTTTGTTTCAAGTATAATTTAAGGAATAGGAGAAAGTCTGTGGTAGTTATCCGTGTCTTACCCCTTCTGTTTTTCTCTCCTCCTTCCTGCTATTCCAAGGTTCCTTATTATTTCCCTTCTGTATAGGGAACTTCTCAGGACTGGGGTTGAGCCGAAGCCTGTTCTACCACTGAACTGCACCCAGGCGTTTTCATTGTATGTTGATACAAGGATCTGGCCTCAAACTTGTGCTTCTCCCCCCTCAGCCTCCCGAGTCATGGAATCGCAGGTCATGTGCACCGTGCTCAGCCAGAGAGTTTTCCCTTGTTCAAAGGAAGGTCAGAGGCTGAGTTGGAAGGTTAGAATTAAGAACTAAAGGATCTGGAAATGTAGCTCAATGGCAGATGGTTTGTTAGCATGTATGAGGCCCTGGGCTCTATCCCTAGCACCGCAGAATAAATAAATAATATGGGGAGCTCTCCCAAGGCATCCTAGGAGCCAAGAGTGTGGAGGGCACAGTGGACAGTACAAGACAGGTTGCCATGGATCGGCTTCCCTGCAAAGATCAGGGCCAGAGGGCGGCACCGGCTCTCCAGGCCTCCAGCTCGGTGCTGCTCTGCCCTGCTTCTCAGCATGCCCTGTGGGACTAAGTGCTACCGGGGCCTGAAATCTGGGGCCAAAAGGACAGAAAGGAGGCAGTGGAGGAGGAGGAGTGGACAGCTGGCTGGATGGGGAGAACCGCAGCCCAGGATGGCAGCATATTGAAGTGAGCAGTGTGGATGAGCCCGCCTTGCCCGGAGGAGGAGAGGAGGAAAAAAGCCCCAGTGTTAACATGCTGAAGAAAAGAAGACGTCCAGTGTGCACTCCTGGGGTCCCAGCACCTGGCAGGCTGAGGCAGGAGGATTACAAGTTCAAGGCCAGCCTAGGCCACTCTGCCATGTGTTCCATACACCTGGCTCGCAGTTATCTTGGGATTTAAAGTATAACCAATTCCCACCCTTGGAGCTATGGCTCAGGTCCGGCGTGTGGCTCTGGAATTCATTTTAATAAGAGCCTTGGGTGATTGTAATGGAGAAACACCAGAGTCCTGGGCTTCAGGCACTGCTGGTTCTAGCCCCACCTTAGTTCCCAGAGGATGCACCTGAGGTGGGGGAGGAGAGGTGTTTTCCGGGGCCACACAGCTGTCCAGGAGAGCTGGGACAGGCCCAGGTTCTTTCTGAACGCCTCGCCCTGTCCCTGTGGTCCTGGCCTAATAGCAGATGGCAGAGCTGGTGCTCAGCCCTTCCTGCTGTTGTGTCTCTGTTGCTGCCCCAGGAGCACTGGTTGTGCAAAGGCAGAGATGGTCTCCCACCTCCTGCAAAGGGAGCCCTGGAATGGCTTTCTGGCCACTGGTATCTCTAGCGTGTAGGGATTCCACGAGGCACTTATAAGAATACAAACATTCATGTATAAGGGGCACTCAGAAGCCAGGGAGAAGGGACAAACAGTGTGCACACCAGTGGTGTGCAGCATGGTAGATTTTCACAAACACCAAGGTACAGATTAAGGAATAGTATACTGCCACACTATCCTTTTGCTCCAGGTCATCCTCTTTCTCCACTTGTACCACGGATACATTTTGCCTGTTTTTTAACTATAAAAATGGAACCAGCCAGGCGTGGTGAATCACACGCCTATAATTCCGGCTACTCAGGAGGCTGAGGCAGGAGGATCACAGGGTTGAGGCCAGCCTGGGCAACATAGTGAGGCCCTGTCTCAAAAACTAAAAGTAGCTCAGTGATAGAGTGCCCTGGGATCCATCCCTGCTACTGGGCCTGCCTTCTGCGTCTGGACTCTTCGAGCACCATGTGTGTGGGGTTCGTCCATGTTCCTTTTACGTATAGTAGATGGGTCTTTTTTTTCTTTCCTTCCCCCACTACCTCCAGTGCTGGGGAAGGACCCAGGACCCTGCGTGCTGGGCAGGCATGCCACCCCTGAGCTGCATCCAGCCCTGGAGCCTTCTTAATATTGCATAGAATTTCACTGTGTAGCTGCATCACCCTGTGCTGGTTCCCAGAGGCGGAGAAACGCTGCTAACTGTTGTAGAAACACTACTAACACTGCTCCCTGGACGTGCCTTTGGTGAGCACATGGACACATTTCTTGGTCTAGCAAAGTTGCTGGGGGACAGGAAGGTCTGCTTGTGTCCAGCTGAGGGCAGCACTGTGAAGAAGTCGTAGCATGTGGCACTTTTTAAAGGCCAATCTTTGAGTAGGACGACACTGGCTTGGAATCCACCTTCCAGTGGCATTTCTGCTGAAGGCGGTAGATGTCAGGGGACACAGCCAGGCATGCTTGGGGCAGGTGGTAACATAGGCTGTGTCCTGTTGAGCTGCCAGGAGCTGCACCTCAGCGTGTCAGCATGCGCTACCACTTCACATGAACAGGTGTGTCTTCTTTCAAGGATTTTTAATAGATACCTTAGTTAACGCATTCGCAAGAAAAGATGGCGGGCTCAAAGGGCACCATTCGATTAGTAAAGGGAAACAAGGGACAGTGCCCAGGGACGCAGCAGTACACAAGTGCTCCCAACCTCAGGTCTGAAGGAGTGCGGTGCTGTGTCCTGCCGGGAGCTGTGGTCGTGGAGGGGGTCTGCCGGGCAGCTCTGGGTAGCAGATGCAGGGAGCAGGTGGCCTGGGCTGGGGTGAAAGCTCCAATCTGCCCTCAGGAGGTGTGCCCCTGGGCAAGGCCAGCTGGCACCCAGAGACAGGGAGCCAGCAGCTCCTCCTGGGTAGTGCCCTAGGGCACAGCAGGGAAGCCAGGGGCAGGGACAAACAGCACACAGGGAATGTATTGAGAGGATTTAGGGACATACAGTAAAATATAAAACAAGAGTACTTATGGCCTAACAACCAAAACCACGGGCCGGCACGTCCGTCGTGGAGTGCTGTTCCTCTCCCAGCGCAGGAAATGGGACCCAGGCCTG